TCTCTCTCTCTCTCACTCACCTAATTAATGACATAATAAAAAATAATTTCTAAAATAGTACTTGATTATTTAATTTGGTTTAGCATAATAATTATTATTTAACTTTAATAGTATTGGAACATTTATCAAAACCATTGGTGCAAGCGCAATAATTGGCCTGGTGGTTTACTACATTGCACGATTCTACGCTAAACGATATAACTACCCGCCTGGTCCCATACCATTACCACTTATTGGCAATGTACTTAGTAAGTATAATTATTTAGTCTCAATGTATGAAGGTATTTTATATTTTCTAAATGAATAATTAATATTATTTATTCAAGTGAAGATTATTTAAATAGTTATAAAATAATAATACAATTGCACATACATGTATATTACACTTACATTCATGCAAATTACATTTATTATTTGCATGTTAAATAACAGTTTATGGGAATTTATTAAAGAATCATGTTAGGAATACATTTATAAATAATGACTTAATTTTTGAGTATTTAAGTATTTAAAAATAAAACGAAGGTTATACTAACAGGTAAGAAAAACAGAGTACTCATAAACAATAGTGTTGTAAAACTATTGATAATAATGATAGTTTAAAATTTTTAGTACTAAAATTTTTAAACCATCAAATATAAAACAATGCAGTTTGTTTTAAATATAAATATAAAAATGTCTGTTAATATTGAACAACTTATATATAGTGTTTCGTAATTACACAACTCATTTCAATGAGGTGATTGTAAAACTGAGCAAGATCTATGGTCCGGTGTTTACTCTATGGATCGGTCCCTTACCATTTGTGTTTGTATGCGATTTGGATTTGGCCAGGGAAGCTTTCAATAAAAGTGAATTCACGGGTCGACCAACATCAGAATATGGTAATTAAGTATATCTAATTAATTTACAATGCAAGGTACAAGACAAAAGCAATGCGTTAAAGTTAATTTTAAACAATAATTGCATGATTAATATCAGAAGTTTTTCAAAAATAAATAAAAGCTATTAAAAATAATTTATTCAATATTTTAAATATACATATTTTATGTAAAATATATTAATAAATTATTTATTTTATGCATATTTATAATTAATTTATTGTTAGAAACTTAAATAGTTAAATTAATAAATATATTACTTAAATTATTGAATTAAATAACAAGATTTAAGTATAAAATATTAATTGTTATTGCAATAATTAAATGTTGCATTAAATATCAATATTATAAATTGTTTATTATTCCAGGTCGTATATTTAATAATGAAAGGCACAGAGATATTGTATTTGATGATTATGGTCATAGTTGGGAAAGTTTACGCCGGGTGTCACATACCACTATACGGTATTATATAATATTAATTAATAATTAATAAAACACAAAAAATTTATATAAAATTAGAATAATTATGAAATTGATTAAAAATATTTGTTTTAAAACGTTTAAGTTGAATAAATTATTATTATCTACTAGGTATAAATAAAATACTGTAGTCAGTGTAGCATTCAAAATTAATCTACCATATTGATAATTTATTTGCTATATTATAACAGAAAATACGCCAAAACACAGGCATTGTCTGAAGTGGTGGCCGAAAACGTAAGCGAAATAATTGACAAAATAGTCGCCACTGAAGGCATTGGTAAACCATTTCAACCCAAACTATACGTTTACAACATGTTTGCCAATATCTTGGGATCAATTATTTTCAGTCAAAAGTAAATAATTTGTTTTAATTTAATACAAATTCTAAATATTTAAAAATATTAATGTTATAATTCAGTATGTATAATATGATTAGTTTATCTCATTAATTTGTAATTAATTAATATATTTTTGTAAAATATGTATAGTAAAATGTTTAATATGTGCAAATAATGATTAACAAAGAATCAATTTAATTTATTACAGATTTGACATCGAGCAAACTGAATTAAAAAAGCTTAAATACATCACCTCGGATTTTCAAACAGATCTTGGCAACTCACTATTTTTATACGAGTTCATACCAGTGCTGCGCTATTTTATGGCCAACCCATTGATTAAATATAAACAATATTTCGACGAAATGATGAATTATTCGCGAGATATATATAAGGAGTTTCAAATGAATTTGGCCGTCGCGTTTTGGCGATTACTCAGGAACTGTTGAGGT